CGGCTACTGCGAGTCACAGTTGGCTACTGCGAGTCACAGTTGGGTAGAGGCACTGTTGTTTGTTCTGTTGGGCGTTACAACGGCTCTGAAAGCAGATATTGGATGCTGCTCTGCTGAACTGGTGTACGGAACAATGCTTCACCTCCCAGGAGAGTTTTTCGCCACCATAAGGACGAGAACGTGTATGCAAACGCGGACTACGCCGTGCGACTGTGAGACATCATGAGCAAGCTACGCACTGCTCCTCCGCGTCCGCCCGCAGCCCGGCCAGTCTACATGGACCGGGAACTCTCCTCCTACCCTGACGTGTTTGTGGGGCATGACGCCGTACAGCGTCCACTCCGGCCCCATACGACGGGCCTTTCAAGGTGCTGCGACAGGCAGGCAAGCACATTACGATCGGCAGAGGTGGTCGTCACGACGTGGTGTCTCTAGACCGTGTAAAACCAGCACACGTGGACTCCGACAGCAAAGCACCTGCACCACCTCGAGCTCCATCTTCGCATGCACCCCCGGCAGACCACGTAGCACAGCCCCAACAAGTCCTCAAACGGTTCACACGGAGTGGACGGTGTACGAGACCCAAGGTGCACATGAACTTTTGAACCGCAGTGGGTCGTCCGAGTGCAGCGGTTGTGGCACACTCACTAGGGGGGAGTCCTGTGGCGACTCAAAGCGGCGCTTCTGTGTGCGGGGCAAAGAGCGCATGCGCTCGCACGAGAAAGTTATTTTTGAGACGAAGGGTGATAATAAAAGTCAGTTGTTGTTTGGGATGCGAATTGTTCACTTGCGCAGCTCTGCCGAGTGCCGCATCTCAACGCTAGTAAGCTTCATAGTGACCTGCCCGACTTGAATGTTAATGTGAATTTCAGATGTAAACGGCTGTTGAACCACAAGGACCTCAACAGTTTCATCCTGCAACGGGCTATCTACTGAAACTTCGTGGACAGGTGCCTGCGACCGCTTCTGGTTGCAAACATTTTCGCAAAGACCAATACGGTCACAAAAGAAGCATCTTTTTTCTTTAGCTGGGCAGCATTTCCAAGAAGTACGATGCTGCTTAGAACCGCAATGCGAAGAATTCACATGTTGCGGCGAATTCGATGGACAGCGCTGCTGAAACGGGGGGTGGTTCCCAAACGTAGGTGCCTTATCGCGTTGACTGAAAGTGCGAGCACGTGGCCGTGACTTCGATGACTGCGACGATAAACCGCCTTTTGAGCACGACTGCGCCGATACTGGTTGCACAGAAATGAAAAATTCCTTCATTTCGACTGCAGCCTGCTCGATTTGACTCGCAAGAGCAACTGCCTCACTGAACGAAGGCGAAGAACCTTCTAACAGAAAACGTTCCTGAATACAATTCGAGGACACACCGGCAACAAACTGGTCATGTAATGACTCTTCTTAAGATGTAAATAAGCACATCGCGGCAAGCTCTGTTAGCGCGGTCATGTATTCTTGAATAGACTCGCATGGGGACTGAATTAGACCGTGGAATCGGTGGCGCTTGACAACCAGGTTGCAGGTGGTATCGAAGCGCTTAGCCAGTGCCGCTACCGCGAAGTCGTACACGTTGGGCGTAGCTCCGGTCCCTTCTTTCTCCTCCGTCTTTTTGGGCGCCTGCAAAACAGACAGGGTATTAAAAATACGTTGGCCTTTGGGTTCCAAGGAATGTAGTAGAATAGCCTTGCGTCGCTCTATGAAGAATTCTGAAGCACTGGAAGCCAGCAGGTAAACCTTGAACATGTCATGCCATCGGGACCATGGCTGCACGGGGCAACCCGGTGTCGGAAGAAACGTATTCTGTGAGGCGATGCCAGCGAAAGCCATCTGGAGGGGGTATCAGACGAATTTCAAACACTTGTCGCCATTGTAGTAAAGGAGTAATGTGACCGACACGCCCCGGGTAGCGGCTGCATGCATACTCCGTTTTATTAGACGTTCCACAATTATATACAAGCACAAGGACACAGTGTTGCCAACCTAAACACTGAAACCGAAACTGCACAATATAACAATGCCTGCATCTCTTTTGCGACAGTAGCACTCTAAAAAGGAGTCTCAAAGCATTTATCACTGCTCCAAGGTGAGGCGAGTGGTGGAATCCGAAGTATCAAGTGCTTGTTTGCTTACGACAGCAGCCAGCAGCTGAACTGCCTCACTGACACTTTCTCACAATTATCAAGCAAGCCACTGAGTAGAATTAGTTTACCTAGAATGCCTTTCATGAAGAATACTGTTGCAGAGGAAAAAAAAGTGGGCCCAACTTTTGAAACAAAAGACAGCTAAATAAGATTGACGTAGCAAGCATTGAGCATCTTTTCAAACGTGATGTGCAATTTAACTACTGAGTTTTGATGATTATGCAAGAAATTTTGCTCATTCGCTTTTGCTAATGATGTAATCAATGCCAACTGAAAAGTTGCCAGTAATCGCAAGGTAGATGAATAACAAAACAACGTTGGTCTCCTATGATCTCCTTGCCTTGTTTCTTAATCTAGCTTTCCTCGAGTTATATGAACCACACTGCAAAATAAAAAGGACATTATAACAGTTTAATAAAGTAATGGTCTCCACACTCTTGCAAAGCTATCAAAGCAACACAGAGTTTCATACTATAAAGCTTCAGGGAAATTTGGCACTGCGATCGATAAACCACCACAGGAATGATGGGAAGTGGAGGTTTCGGACTGGATTGCGTCAGCTAGCAAACTGCTACAGGGTGTTTTTCTACAGTTTCAATTTCGTTTTTCAGCGCGAACTGGGTGTTGAGGGGTGATGTGTAAAGCACTCGGTGTAAAGCCTACCTAGCCTGCACAATACACACACACACACACATATAATATATAACAATTTAACACACACACACATATATCTATATAAGGAAAAGAAGTGTATACTTAAGGGCTAGTTTTTTACGTGTTCTGACACATTATTAATGAGGTCTAACAGACAGCAATGGCAAGGAAAGTATAGGGAAGTTATTAGACCAAATTGTAATGTAAATGTGAAGAAAGAAAAGTGGGTGAAAAGATAACTTGCCGTGGGCAGGAACCGAACCTGCGACCTTCGAATAACGCATTCGATGCTCTACCACTGAGCTGCCACGGCGGCTATCCCCCCAACCACTTTATTGGGTTTATACGTGAATTTAAACGTGGGAGTGTCAGTCAGCGCCACCTGTAGCCATGGCGGGGAGTGTGGCACACTCTTTATGAGCCTGTTTGGCATCACGTAGCATGTGAACTTATTACGAGCTGGCAGCTGACCAATAGTCCCTCGTATACAATATGTATGTGTGTGTGTGTGTGTGTGTGTGTGTGTGTGTGTGTGTGTGTGTGTGTGTGTGTGCGTGCGTGCGTGCGTGCGTGCGTGCGTGCGTGCGTGCGTGCGTGCGTGCGTGTGTGTGTGTGTGTGTGTGTGTGTGTGTGTGTTAAATTAAAACAAGGCCTGTGAGAATGCCTTTTCTTTGGTTCAAAGAAAGTGGAAACAACATTAAATACTAGCAGGATTTGACTTTTGGTAAAATGCAAATGATAAACTGTAAAATATGCTATGCTTTAACATTTACTATACTTAGAGCATATAAACCGGTATAAGAAGCTTGCAAACGTCAAAAATTATGAATCGATGCAGGGCTATGTTCATTCAACCATGAAGGGGTGTTTCATGGCAACGCAGATTTCCAATGAATGTTTTCATGGCTTAGCATTCCTTAGCTTCGTACAGTGATTCGCCTTCCCTTGTCCAACACCTAAAGACAATGCAGAGAAAATGAGGGCCTAACTGAAAGAAAGTATGTTGTTCAGACATGCGTGGTGTCTCCCCTGCGGCTTCTCTGGACTCAAATAAAGTTTTCATCATCACCATCATACAACAATACAGTTGAACTACGATTATACATCCCCCTGCTTTGCGACGACCTGCATTTTACGATGAATCGGTTTGGTCAGGGCGAAATTCCCATAGAAATAATGCATTAAAAATTTCAGTTACACGACGCAGTTTTACGTCGACGTTGCATCTTACGACTACTTCCAGATTCCGTCAAAAAAAAATTTTTTCTCGGATCAAACGTTTAATTATTCATGACTAATTATTCATGAAATATGAGCTTCAGTTTCCTGATTTGACGATTAGAAAAGTGGAGAGTGAGAGAGGACGTCTTCTCAGAATGGAAAATTTATTCTCCGAGAATCTCAGGCAAGGTTCTGTTTGGCGTTGCATATCACAGTTGCCAGACAGAACCTTGCCGAAGTTCGTGCGTTTCTACTTACGCCTTGATTTCGTGCGCACATATCTGGAGTCATTAACTAGTCAAGCTCTATCCACACACAGCAGCTTGAGCTGACTGAAAAGTTGATATTTCACGTTTTTGGTCCGTGGAAGCTTTTTCTGATCGACATACAGCTGATCTCCAGCCTTTGTCTCTTTGCAGTCAAAGGCTTATGCATGTGTAAGAGCACGACGCAGCTGTTTTCATCGTGCAAGACTACTTTCACTCAAAATCAACGTTCGTAATAACAGCAGGACCTAAAGCTACACTTCACAAGCCAACATATTACAAAACGCAGCGCTCAGTTGCACAAAAGGCATTCTATGCAAACTCATGGTCTGTCCCCTTTGTGAGATGGCGATGACACTGTGCCTGACTCTTCTGACGGGAGGCTGTTGGCAACGCGGTTTCGGTTTAGTTTTCTTGCGCAAGCAATTTTTCGGACTGTTTCGCTCGCACCTCCTCCAACTTATGCAACGCTTACATTAGCTGCCACTGGCAAGAATAACAATCTACCTTCCTTGCAGAGGCACATTGTCGTGCTGTGGGCTTATTCGGGCAGCCTGTACCCGTGTTCTTGGCAAGGCTGAGTGTCACTGCCTATAATCATAGTTTTTTCCATTATACGATGCCCGGATCATATGACGGTTTTGGATAAATCCCTGAAAGTCTCGTGATAGGGGTTCCGCTGTACTGTTTATGCACAGTCACTAGGCCTCACCTGCATTTCCACATTCTGTTCATGAGCAGTTTTGTCACTGCAAAGATAGATGGGCCCACTGGGATGGAAGAAGCGGTAGTACAGTGCCATGCAGTACATGCCTGTCAACAATGAAATATCAGAAAAGCATTATTACGAGCCCATAGACATTTTACAAAAATGCACTCTGAAAAAGCATGGAGGCCAAAGTCAAATAAGAACTAACAACTGTTTCTCTAGGTGCTTCAGGAGGTACGTTTGCTGGTTCAGTTAATGAAACATTTTTTTTTTACGAGCTGCACAGAAATACAGACAAAAAAGCAAAAACAAAAAAACTGCACTGTGTTTTATCTTTTCCTTTTTTAGAAGACGCTAAAGAGCTAAGCAACCTTTTTGCATATTAGTAAAGTACTATTTCACAACCCCGAAAACGCCACTCTTACAATGACATGATACTTGGTAAGCAAGAAAATGCGCCCAACGAAAACGCAGTTGGTGGAGACGCCATCGCGAGATTCCCGCACCGAACATCATGACGTAGTAAATTTTAAAAGCATCTCTACAGGGTCCTACATAGCTGCTACTTGATAAAAATAAAGTACATCAGTATCTGCGGGGGCCATGGACACAGCATATGAGATCTTGGTGAATTTCATCGAGCCAACGTAGTGAAATTACGAAAAATACATTCTGAAATTGGTTCCATCACGCACAATGATTTTGGCATCAAGTTCAAAACTGAAGCTTCAACCTAGAATTTCTCCACTGATAATGAACTGGTGACAGTAAAACTTATGGCATTTGAGTTCTCAGACTGCAGTTTATCAATCTAAATGAAGTCATTGTTTCTTTTCAATGTCCCTCTAATCTCGGTTGTTCCTGTGCTAAATGTTGACAGAGGCACTGATCATATTTTGTCGCTGAGTTGTGACCATCAACGATAGAAGTAACATATCATGCGAGGAACACAGCGTAGCCATCCATACCTCAGCAGCACGTCACAAAGTACTGCAATGAACTGCGTTTTTCTAGCCATTACACGCATATCGAGCATGTACCAGACAACCATGATCCAGCTCTTGGATTTCTAAATGGCTACCAAGCAGCCACCGAATTTTTAATGCACTTTAAAAAATGTTTCCTCGATCATCTGAAGATTGCCGCTTGGGGGCCACGGAGTGCGGACGCACGTCGTACTGGCTCCGCAGTTTTTCTATGATTATCGCCACAGTATCGAAGTTCCTAGCGCCATTTTTCACACCAGTGGACGACGGATGTTTTGGAGATCTTCTGGACGCCACGTTTTCACAGGTGGGCTGCATCTTTTTGGTGCAACAATCATGTTTTCTGGGTTGCCACATCAACGCGGCAGCTAAGCTCAGCGAATGCGAACTGGACGCTAGTGTCTCCACCTCCGCGGCGGTGTGAAGAGCTCGGCCGAACGCGCCGTCCGAGCTGTTCGGGGCCCCCTATTCCTCTTCGAAGGCCCGATTGATGCCGAAATGCAGGTCGTAACTGTGGATGGAGAAGACTTATCACTGGAAGAGTTTAAAAAACGGTCAGGCTGGTGCGAAGTGCGAAAAAGCGCCAAGACGGAGGTCGACCGAGAGCGCGGCTCGGCGGGAAATACGCAGCAAGAGACGCTCTTTGTAGAAAAGGCGGCAGAAAACAAATGGAAGAATGAGCGGAAAGCTCGACAAATCATCAAAGGCGAGTAGAGTGCCCAATCTGCCGAGGGAAGATTATAAGGTCATTGCGCATCCGCGTGGTGGGCTTAAGGTTTCAGAATACAGGATGGATCACATATATTACTGCCTGCGCAACGCTGCGGGGGTCGGCCGGGAGGCAGCTGTGGAAGACAGTAAGGGCATCAACAACACACAAAACATACTCATCATCAGTACACCATTCGAGGATCGAGCCCGACAGTATGGAGCCCCATTACCTAATTACGAATAGATCAGCAGGAATTCGAGACCTGTGCGTACAGGACAGCCCCGAAGAACACGTCAAGGGGACTGATACGAGGGGTGTCCAAGGAAGAGATCCCAGAAGACATACTTAGCAACTTGGTCACTCCACGTAACCCAGGAACCCCAATGCGAAAAGAAAGGGAAACACGGACAATGATGTCTGCTACGGTTGTGGGAGACTTTGACATAGAGCAGATGTGTGTCCCTACCCCAACGACAAGGTGTGTAGGGGATGCGGAAGCAAGAATACAGAGCAAGATCACAGTTGTGAAATGGAATGCAAGTTATGTGGCAAAGATCACCCCACTGGAGACAAGAGATGTAAGGCAAGATACGAGATACTGTACTTGGTTAGGAGACGTCGCTGGGAATGGACAAGGCGAGATGAGCAAGAAGCACAGGCATCATGCGCTGAAGCCTGCTACCAGTACAAGGAAGTCGGCGTATGCCATCACAACGACCCCAACACAACAACCAGCCAGCAGTCGAACAAGGACACTAACAGGCAAAGCAGTGAGAACGGCCTCGTACCAGACCACTCCGCATCCTCAGAGCTTACTGGGGCAAAGTGCCGAAAACATTCCAAATCCTGCTCCAAAACGAGATCAAGGCCAAGGCCCCACTCAAGCGCCACTCGAGGGAGCGGCAGCACGCAGGTGAGCTTTGCAAGTGTGGTCTCCGGCACTGCCTTTCCTAGTACTGTTATAGGGTCCGCCTTAGAAAAGGAAATGATGCAGATTTAAAAAATGTTAGGACAGATAACTAGAGAGAACTTAATGCTTAAAGAAGAGATTAAGCAACTGCAAGAAGAAAATGCGAAGCTTCAGGGGGTGAGGAACGCGGATACGACACCTAACACCACCTTTGTTAGTAAAACACCAACGCTTAATCGAGCCCTAACATCTGTTCCCTCGCAAATGAGCGAGAAGTCACCGCCACTCAAAAGGAGGGCGCAGGAAGAAGCAGAAAAAGCTGGTAACTTTTCGATTAGCGAGGTTAAGGGATTGTTTAAATAAATGTTTGATGCACTACAAAACCAAATTACATGCATGTACGTCGAAATAAAGCAACAATCTGATGGACTGGAGCACAGAGTATTAGCGAGAGAGAGCACGCCGAAGGACGTTAGGTCATCTGGTGTGGGGCCAGTTAAAGCACAACCGTATACCAGAACACCCACAGTAGAAACCAGCAAGGTCACCGGAGAGGATCCCATAAGTAATCATAGCGCCACGTAACCAGTACATTATTTGGCAGTGGAATTGTCGCGGGTACCATAAAAAACGAGGGAACCTGCAGCAATTCCTGATAAACAGGGAGCCGCCAGATGTCATTGCCCTGCAAGACCGGGGGGACGGCAAAGTTATCGGGGTACAAGTCGTATAGAAGGCGACTGTCACAACTCTGGTACATAGAGACCCCACGGCTGTAGAGCATGATACCGGAATGCACAGCATAGACTACGTCCTTACAGAAATAATACCCTCCCGTAAGAAAGAGGGAAGCCTACTCGTGCTTAACATTTATAGCCCACCCCGACAGAAGCCCAAGTTTGGTCCACTTTCCTGCAAAGCCTTGAGCATAGCGGAGAGACAGGCTCTCGTCATAGTCGGCTACATTAACGCACTGCACATGGCTTCAGGATACACTGACGAGAATATAAAGGGACGCAACTTATAGGCAGACGCTCAGCTGCAGGGCCTTACGCTGATAACGAATCCTGAGGAGCCCACAAGAATAGGCAACAGTGTTAGTAATGACACGCCGGACCTAACTTTTATGAAGAACGTAGCAGACTCGCGATGGGTAAACACGCAGCAGAATTTTGGCAGCAATCATTATATTGTACTAGTTACAACGATGCATGCAGGCCCTCAAAAAAAGAAAGGCAGAAAACTGGCACTTGTAGAATGGGACTATTTCCGCGAGATTCGAGAGGAGAATTCGGATGATACCATAGTAGATATAGAAAAATGGGTAGAGAAGCTCCAACAGAGTGTCAAGAAAGCCAGTAAAGCTGTTCCCGAAGAAGCGGCCATGGCGGAGATGGACAGCAAACTGTTGCATCTGTGGGAGGCAAGGACTAGCATCCAAAAGCGCTGGAAAATACAATTAGAAATCACAGTTAGATAACCTTAGACCAATTTCACTGACTTCATGTATAGGCAAATTCATGGAGCACGTCATCCTTGCACGTCTCACTAACTACATGGAGGAGAACAGACTCTTCACACATACCATGATCGGTTTCAGACCTAAATTATCAACGCAGGACATCATGCTACAGATTAAGTATCAAGTAATCGACGTGGGGACCAGATCTTTAGACTCTAAGGCTATCCTTGGCCTTGATCTCACTAAGGCCTTCGATACTATCACACACAGAGCCATATTAGAGAATCTTCAGGGACTGGGGACAGGACAGTGCACCTACGCATATGTGAGAGACTTCCTATCCAACCGTACTGCAAGAATTGCGGTCGAAGAGGCAAGGTCTGAAAAGATTGAATTAGGCAGAGGGGGGACACCACAGGGTTTGGTGCTGTCTCCCCTGGTATTTAATGTGGCGATGATTGGCCTACCCGCAAAACTTGACCAGATTGAAGGCCTCAGACATAGCATATACGCAGACGACACCACCCTATGGGTGAATGTGACGGCAACATTGAAAACATATTACAAAAGGCTGTTGACACTGTAGAGAGATATGTAGAAGGTAAGGGGCTGAAATGTTCTCCCGAAAAGTCAGAACTGCTAATTTATAGGCCCACATGTATTGGACGCAAAAGCATACAGGAAAGGCCAGACATCACGATTTTTGCAGGGGGAAGTAAAATACCCGTGGTAGCAAACCTACAAGTTCTCGGCCTCCGTATATCTGAGAATGGGCACAACGGAGAAACTATTAGGCTGTTAGAGAACAGCGTCCACCAAACAAGCAGGCTTATCAAACGAATAACCAACAAAAACTATGGTATGAAGGAGCACAACTTAGTTCATTCAGTCCAGGCTTTTGTAGTCAGCTGCATCGTGTATGTTGCCCCATATATTAAACTACACGCAGCTGAACAGAGAAAAATAGATAGCATCATTAGGAAAGCATTTAAACAAGCAATAGGTCTACTGTTAAATATGTCGAACGACAAGTTCTTGGCTCTAGGGCTACATAACATGCTCGCAAAGCTAATAGAGGCCCACACAATGGCACAGTATGATCAATTAAACCCAGAGTTCTATGGGCAGGCATATTTGGAACACAATTGGCGTCACGTGCAACGTGCAACATATGGTAAAAAAAGACATTCCCCGGAAGGCAAGGGGGCATATCGTGGTGCCTCCATTACCTAGAAACATGCATCCGGAGCATCACCACGCTAGAAGAGTAGAATGGGCGAAAAACCTACATAAAAAGTTCAGCAACGCCCGGGACGTGGTCTATGTAGATGCAGCAGAATACGAGAATGGCCGAAACATGGTAATCGGAGCTACGAATATTCAAAGGGATTCCAACGTCAGCGGCAGTGTACATACAGATAGGGCAGAAATGGCGGAGGAGGCGCCTATAGCACTAGCACTAGCTTCCACAAAAGCCGAAGTCATGATCAGCGATTCCAAAACTGCTTTTAAAAATTATGCCAAGAAAGGGATCTCACGGGAAGCGTTAAGAATTCTGGCTAACTGTTGCAACGAGCGGGTAGTTCAATATTATATGCGCACCTGCTCACTCCTCCCTCCCAGGGAACAAAATCGCGCATGGCCTGGCTCGAGAACTGGCCGGCCAAACAGGCACAGCGCGAAGTCCGGAGACGGAGAGGAACCACATGATTAGTTATGAAGAGATCACAAAACGCTACAGGATAGGAAAGATCCGATTCCCCCTCCGGCAAATACCTCGCTCAACAAGCAGCAGGCAACGGCATGGCGCCTCTTACAAACCAACACTTTCCCGAACCCGGTAACTTCTCACTACATCTACCCAGACATATACACAGATTTGTGTAAAAGTTCTGCAATAAAAGGGCGGATCTCAATCATATACTGTGGGCTTGCCCCTCAGTGACAGGACAATATAAAAAATACAGCAATGGAGAGCAGTGGGAGACCGCACTGCTAAGCGCAGGCCCAGAAGTGCAACTTGACGTGATTCGGCAAGCCGAGGATGCTGCCAGAGTGCAAGGACTCATGGCTGCCACCTAGGGAAAGGTGACAATTCTTCCACATCTTGCCGTTTTTTTCTTTAATAAAGTTATTTCCTCCTCCTCGATCATCTAACCCTGCAGTGTTGTGGGCCCCAGCATACCCCTGTGTCTACATTTGATAATTGTCGTTATTTTGTATTCTTTTTATTGTTAATCATTGGCTCATTATAAAATTATTTAACCTCAATCTTGGTTGCCATGGTCGCATTTCAATGGAGGCAAAACGATAGGGGGCATGTGCATAGATTTAGGGGCATGTGAAAGAAATTCAAGTGGTGTATATTTCGGAGCCCTCCACTATGACGTCTCTCAAAATCATAGCGCGGTTTTGGAATGTAAATTATCGACATTATTTGAGCCAGTGGCGGGGGCAAAATAGAATGGAATATAAAACAGATAATCTGAGATTATGGCATCAAGTGTTTATTGAATACTACCTCTCTAACTGTTCAGAACACTATTCCGGAAATGTACTTACCTATTCCAAAGCTTCCCAGCACTACAGCTGCCGAAGTGATGACATGCAGGTCATCGCCTTCGCCCCTCGTGACACAGTAGACAATGAGAAATGCAACATTCTGCAGGCCTATGAGCGCATAGAAAAAAATGACACGGCTCCGTGAACGGCCGTCACGCACGTTGAAGAAGCAGAATGTGTAGATGGCGCCCACAACAGCGTTGTACACGAGCTCTTCCCAGCGCGACGGACAGAAGTCTGTCTTCTGCCACACCAGCCATGCTGTCATGAGCATCCAGTGAGTGCCTGCACAAAAAGTGGATTATAAAAAAATAATTCATTTGCATCATTTTTCTATGTCCAAGAAGATGGCTGATGGCAATTTAAAAGCAGTCCAGCATAAAATGCAAAAGCAGTCCAGCATAAAAGGCATTCTGTTATGCCGAAGGGCATTCTAGACCAGGGGTATCAAATACACAGCCCTCATGTGGCCTGCGAGGCTCTCGTTTAGAGGGTCCGTAAGCCACCCAGAGGTCTGAATTCACTTGCGGTGGGGGAATTGTGCACGAGTGTACCGACGAAAACGAAGTCATGAGAATTTTTTTAAACGGTGCGATAATAGCAAAGACGCGCTTGATTGTCGAAACTGCAACAGTCCCTCCTTTCACTCTCTCCTGCACTACCCTGCATGGTATTCTCTCTCAAACCCGCTTTTTTTCCCTCTCCCCAAGCGCCCCCTTCCATGTCCCTCCCAATATCGTGTGGCATACATCATCGCTGATGCGCTGCTTGAAGCACCATCAACTACCGATTGCCACGACTCCGTCCCTTCGTCGACTAAGACTCAACTGCATGTTTGTTGGCGAACCGCAGCTGCCGTGCCGACCCGTTCTTATATGAATCGTGCCGGTATGTACCATGCATTGCGCGCACGCCTTCAGAGGGTCGCCAACACGATAGAGTTGCAAGCCCATGCGTGGGCAACATGAAGATCAAGAACAACAGTTGCGAACAGCTGCTTGCAGACTAACAGGAAGTCATAGGCTCCCACTTGACCAACCACAGCTTATTTGTGGCTAGCGTGTATATTGGCTAGCATGTGCATGTCTCTCCAATGAAGAACATTTATTTCAATAGCCTTAAAGAGCTCGTTTTGCAAAAATTCCAGCGTCAACGTCGGTTGCGAGTGAAAAAAAAATATTCATCTTGTGTGTGACCGAAAAATCAAGAAAGATGCAAATAAAATAAATAGTAGAAATTTCTGGGTGCGAGTGAGGACTGAAGTAAGTGCCACCTGTGTGGAAAAAAGGCATTTCACCACAAAGCCACCAGGTTTGGTGAAACTGCTTTCGACACGAGCACTACCATACATTAATGTCGTGTAGCAGAAGGTGTCTCCTTCACCATCAACTGCATGGCAGAAGCGTAGAATCACAGCAGGCAAAAACATGTGAATTGGGCAATGAGCGGGTGTTTTGAAGGCCCACCCATTACAGAGCGCACAGACATAATCAGCACCAGTAGCAGAAGAACCATCCACAAAGTGAACAGTTGCGTAGGTTTGTGTGTCGCCCTACGGACACATAACGGGTCATTTGCTGATAGATTAATAGAAAAATTATGGCGTAGTGGGCACTTAACAACTGTGCTTGTAATAGGCATTCAATGATGCTTAGAAATGGCCCAGGCTCATTGCAAAGTCATTTCTTTTCTTATGCCACAACTGAGGCATTTACCAAGAATCTAATTAGGCTAGCAGTTCAGGTGCACACGAGGCCAGATTACAGGACTGCGATCTACTCTTGAAGGGAAAGCTCAAACGTGATTGAATTTTAGTCCTGTATCTGGTGGTAGGATAGTGGAATGAGTTATCAGTTCACGTATATTTGGAGTTGGATACTTCTTTAAATATAATGATTAATGATTGAAAAAAACACTCACTCTCAAGCCTCGTTACAACGAAGTTACATCTGCCCCCAACATACTTTGTTATATCCTAATATTCATTGAAAACGATTATTTGCAACACTGTATCCATGGCAAAATCATTGGGCACACACTTTATGATAACCAATAATTCGTTATATCCGAATCCGTCATATTGAGGCTTGAGTGTATATCTTATTTTCCTGCCTTGATTTAAATGGCACTCACCAACGACAAGTAGGGTCCACACACCGCAGACGCACGCGAGCAGAACCATGGAGGTCACGCGCGACGTCATGGTTCCGAACCTCCACAATGTCTGTAGAATCAGACCAGTCCAGGAGAGCTGCTGTTTTTCGGACCGATACAGTCGCATAGCTTTGCCATAGGCTGCGATGCCCCAGCCGAGGGACAGCAGAGAGAGCAACGCCGAGATACCTGCAATCCATTGCAAAGGTTTTTTTTATATTACGCTTAAAGCTCGACATAACGTACCTGCATATAACGAAATATCGCTTATAACAAAGTGAGTGATATATAGTCTTGCAACTGATAGTGTTATGAATAAAGCTGCATAACAAATTTTCAGACATAACAAACTTATTTTCGTGTAAGATGGAACTCTCTTATAATGAGGTATCAGTGTACTTTCGTTGTTTCAATCTACAACTGGCACACAGTCAGGTTAGAACATAAGGCTGACGACAGAAGCAAACAAACTTGATTAGCAACAAAGTTGTAGACTAGCATGTATCTTGTCAGGGACTCCTACTTTCGAATACTGACCACGTCTTCTGTTTTCGTTTTGGTCTGCCAAGAGCACCAAGTGTCATGATTTCACTACTGCACTCATCAGTCACTTGTGCTAATATATTTATTTCTGCTGCAGCTGTATCCTGCATTCAAAAAAAAAAAATCACAACATATCCACGAGGTTACAGTGGCTAGAATATGGAAGTGTGATGAACGCACCAGCTAGCGCGTAACGCCTTGAGAGGAAACCGCCAGGTGGCGCTGGTACACGTTTGCACGCTACCCAAGACGGCGATGTGCTGTGCAGAGACGGGAATCAACCACGCGAGTGGGCAGTGTGAAGCATTTAAAATATATTTTGTTGCTCCTCGTGCATGGCCTTAAATGGCGACCAAGCTGATATGTTAATTAGCTTCTGGAATTACAGGATGCCTACGCAGGTTTGCGACTGAACTGAAATATCGACAGGGTGCGAAAAGTGAGCGCGTGACGGCATGACACATTTTATCGATATGAAGTGGTAGAATAGAGGAACGATGAACTCAGTTGTGAGTCATTGCTTGTAACACCTTTCACAGCGAACCATCATTTCCTCATGCACTAATCTGTAAATAAAGCCCCATTATTCGTAACATGCATGGCTCGCTATAGCTACTGCTGCTAAAGCCATACAGTTTTATACAATCACACCTATGGCTAATGCATATTCAAACTCATAGACGAGAATCACGAGCGGTACCTAGATGAAAACATTTTATTTTGTGCACACTAGTCAAACAACGCATTTCTGAGTAGTGACTCACTATCTTCTATTTGCATTCTTAATAATTAGTCGTACAGCTTATCCACACAAAGAAAGAAGTTTTATAGTTCACAAGCGCACCACAGAACATTGTTTCCCTTGGCTAGGTGACGTGCCTAGGCGTCAGGTACTTTCTCTTTTCACGGGAAGATGCTGGCTCCTTGTGAAGTGCTTTTGTCTAAAAACGCAAATGGGAAGCAGAAAAAACTTGGTCACTCGATTGGTGAGGTGAGACTATGTTCTGCGCAGCCCAGTGTGACATTTTTTTTTTTTTTTTTCAAGCAGGAAACAATTAGCTTTTCCAACTGTCACTGTGAAGCTTGTTGTAGCTGAACCATTTTGAAAAAGTGATTTAAAGGGCGTCTACAAATGGGAAGAGCTTCTCCGAAAGGCCGACCCATAGGAATTCGCACGAGGGGGGAAGAGGTTGCGGGAGCCCCTCCTAGTCACCCAGCTGGAAGGGGGGCGCTAAATCTGCTCTATACATTGAGTAGGGGGCGGGGCACTCTTTTATTCACCTAAAAGGTGGGTGCGAAATCTGCTTCATACACTGATTTAATAGGGAGGGGAGCGCTGCAATGAACCTTTGCCACCCCCCCTCCTCCACTGAACAGGAATCCTGCGCACACCTATCCCTTTCCTTTTCAATGCAGGCAATTTCGTCGTTCACAGTGTGCTCGAAGCGCCGTACCTCTAGTCGAAGTGTGCACCTCACACACAGCCGAGTTTTTTCGAAGCAGCTTGTCAGCCCGCGGCATCGCTCTCCGCCACTGCACAAACAGAGCTTCGTCCTTTGGAACACCAAACAACGCATGCTTCTTTTTAGCTGACTTGTAGTCTGTGGTGCACCATGGGACGAAGCATTGACTTTGTTTTCGAGCCATGGGAGTGCATACAGAAGCATTGCTGTCAGAGGGTCACTGCACAAAAATAAGAGCGGACGAGCGTGCTCTACGAAACTGTCGGACACGTGCAAACAACATATAAACGACTGTGCACGCCCCCATGCGGCTCCTCCGCAGAGGCTTCAGTGTGCTCCGTAGGCGCCGCTTGCCGCTCATCACACTTTCCTATTCTAGCCACTGTAGCGAGGTGAACAACGAGTGGGGCAAAGCGTACGGACGGACGAACGCACAAAAGGTCGAACGGATGGACGCACAAGTGGACGAACGTACAAACGGATGGATGGACTTAGGAACGCTTCACCCTACTCATTATCATCAGTTCACTCCGTGGATATGCTATGACATCGTTTTCATTCGCATGCAATGCAATTCAACTGGCTACTACAATGATTATGACGACACGGGACATACGACGCACAGCGTAAGGAGCTTCGTCTCTAAAAAATATGTTCACTTCAGACGCAAATTGTGTGAAAATCACAGCATATTCATGGGGTGAATTATGACGAGTGGGCGAAACTGCGGAGGAAATCATCAGTAAAACCGCAAATCTTCCGTGTGTAATTCGCCCGGTCGATCATGATCTAAAGACATCATGAGAAACACTATGTGTGTATATATAGAAATCAACTTTTATTTGTACTTAGAGATGACAAATGGCTTGCGATGTCCCTTCATTATGATGGCATATGGTGCCTGAAATGAAGGGTGACCAGTTCCTGTATAGGTTGCAGTGTAAAATTTGCAAATACTAGGTCAATGTATGTTCCTCAGATCGTGTTTGGTTTCATATGGCCATATGATATACATCTGAGTGCATATCCAGAAGCCACATGTTGGATAAGCCAATTATTGGTTGTGTCTGCGATATCAACGTTGAAATCACCGAGTATGAACGGTACGTTCTTGTACTATGCTAAAATTTTATCACATACAAGCATCAACTACAACTACCGACATCTAGTTCCACATACAAGTACTGCCATCGGTGGCTACGTACACCAATAACAACAAACACCATGGGATGTACAGACCCACACCCTAAGGAGCTTCGCCCTTAAATAAAAAGAAACGAACCGGTCCAGGGATTCCAGTCTTCGTGATTGACCATGATGTAGAGCTGCAGCACAAGCTGGGGTGCCGACTCCAGGAAAGAGTCGAACAGGCGCAGCATGCAGAGATCGCTCTGGTGCTGATACAGCTCGTGGAAGTCCTCGACATCTCGCGTCCGTTCAGCCCTCAGCCCAGCACGCAAGCACAGCCAGTACCTGGTATCGAGACGTGCAAAAAAAGTCTACAGTCCACCCTTCACTCTGAATTTAACGAAACCAAAAACCTGCAAGACACAACAAACGTATAGAAAGGCAGCGCGTGAGTCACACAAAAGTACCGCCATTCTTTTAATTTATTTATTTATCGATACTGCAGGCCAATATGCTGGCCCACGCAGGAGGGTCAAATACAATAATACAGTGACAAAGCATTCACAAAAGACTAAAAATGCAAGAAGAAGAAAAAAACAAACTGTGCATGAAAAGAATAAAACCTGTGCTATCTAAAAAAAAAGAGCGTTAAGACAATACCAAGGCACTGCACACAGCATGGGATTCATTTGCAAAAAAAGTTTAAACACTGCTCATATTTATACCCTATTCTAAGCGAAATGGTTTTCTCATTCTTTTCTAAAGTTCCTCGATTGTATTATGTGAACAGGTAGAGAGTTCCATTCTGTTATGGTGTGTGAGAAAAAACTGTTCATGTGAGATTTGGTTTTGGGAAATATTGGCATAAGAGAAAAGCTGTGTCTGTGTCTAGTCGACTGTGTTTTTAGGGGTACTAAAAACATCATGGAAATCCAGTGCGGTCCAAAGTGCCAAAAATAGAGAGAGAGAGAGAAAAGAATAGAAAATAGGCTATCATCAGACGCAACATATGGACTGTTGTGGTCTCAGAAGTGTTGCACCTTGGGTGAGTTGGTCGTCCACGAACTTAGTTTGTAGTACTGCGGTACATATATGAAGGTACTTACCTACGGAGCAGACACCTGGAGACTTACAAAGAGGGTCCAGCTTAAATTGAGGACGATGCAGCAAGCGATGGAAAGGAAAATGATGGGTTTAACCTTAAGAGATAAGAAGAGAGCAGAATAGATCAGGGGACAAACCGGGGTTAAGGATATCATGTTGAAATCAAGAAGAGAAAATGGACATGGGCCGGGCATGTAGCGCATAGAGAGGATAACCGCTGGTCATTAGGGTAACAAACTAGATTCCCAGAGAAGGCAAGCGGATTAGGGGGAGACAGAAGACAGAAAATTAGGTGGACAGATGCGATCAAAAAGTGTGCGAGTATAAAATGGCAGCAACAAGCACAGGACCGAGTGGACTGGCGGAACATGGGAGAGGCCTTTGTCCTACGGTGGACATAGTCAGGCTGATGATGATGATGGTATAAGAAGGAAAGATCACACAGACGTAGAGAAAGGTAGGTACTAATACAAGCTAAGCTGATGTTGTGGTCTGTCGCTTACTAACCTAGTCAGCCACTCTGAGAAGAGAAATATTTGGATGAATCACCTGTCTGTCAGGGCCAACAGAAAAGCTATTAATGTTTCTTACTGCGACTGGGAATGGGCCCATTATAACAGTGCACGGATCGGTGAGCTAAAGACCTGGAAACCATCCAGCCCAAAGCTAGGAGCAAGACATGTCTTCCTTGTCTTTCATTCCGTGCTGTATGTACGTTAAACTCACTGAATGAACATCATGCACCCACACCTAAGCATGCCATATATAGAGGATGGCCAAGGAATACCATGATGGCTACTAGACCTTAAGCCTAAAAGTAGGATAGATAAGCATGACATTTCAAGGCCACCTCACCTCCTTCCTTATAGATTAATTAAATTAGATGTAGTGGTGAAATTCAGCCTAATGAAAGAATTCTATACTCACCAATCATCAAAATCAATCTGTTTATATGTATTCTGTAATAATCTTTAGTTGAAAAGGAGCACTGAAACAAATTTTAGAAATTTTCGCATTGTTACTCTTAATAGTAATTAAGTACTGGTTTCAAGAACACTAAAATGTGAATTGTGGTTGCTCGCAATGCATTCAATATATTTTTAATACCTTTTTCTTAAAAAAAAACACTTTCGGCTTTAAAATCAGGGGGTGGTATCGCAATGACGTGTAAATGCAGTATGATGTAGGTCTAAAACACATGGAGACAGCAGCCTCTGGAATTCTTGTGTGAACGCCTTGTACGTGAAAAACAAAGAGTGAATAGGCATTTAGAAACTCCAACAGCAGTTTTGGCTGTGTCTGGGATGCAGAGTTCGTAAATCTGCCTAACCGTGTTGACTTGCCATGATTAGGTCCATAGCAGTGGGGTTGTCTCGTAGATGCTGGGTGACGAAAACTTTAAAGTACACTTCAATAAGTCACCTATAAGAGTTTCCTGGTTCCTGTACGTGCAGTATGTTAACATTACATGCCAGAAAAAAATATATATAACACGTGGGGTTTTACGTCCCAAAAACACGATCCAATTACGAGACGGCGTAGCAAAGGGGCTCCGGAAATTTTACGACCAGGCGTTCTGACATCACACAGCACACGAGCCTCTACCATTTCGGCTCCATCAAAATGTGACTGCTCCGGCCGGGATCGAGCACGCTGCCTTCGGGTCGGCAGCCGCGCACCCTATAGCCACTGATCTACCGAGACAGACAGGGAAGCAAAAATTTTCCCTTTTGTGATGCCTCAATATCATGTTGGTTCCTTTATGCTAAGATACTCCCCTTTGTGAAGACAACAAAGGCGGATTTAACCGACTTATTCCGTCCGTCTTCTCTTCCCCCTTTTTTCTTTAATGCTCACCAAATAAAGAGAGGCAGGGCTCAATAGAGACCTATAACACAATGTTACCATTGCAATATTTGTGATCTGACCTGCCGCTGACCTACACGTCCATTAACTGGACATTTGCAGTTACACGTGCAGTAGCAGCACAGTGTTCTTGTTACAGAAAACTGGTAACGTCTGTACAAACATACTTTCATGTCATCACATTAAACATTACTTAGTGCCGTCACACGCATTTGACTACAGTCCATGGGGAATGTTGAGTATGGCACTGTCATGCACTAAAAATAATTCATTAGTATTTTCCCCAGCAACGATCTCGCTCATTTCCCAGGTGTTCGAAGTGAGGCAACAGCTGTGACAAACTGACGCTGGCACTATGTCTAGCTTGTAACAAGAGGCACGATCAACCTATGGGACAAACTTGACGTACAACTTTTTATTTGATAACTACAGCTGCCCTTTGTCGCTAATTAGCTCAATCATTACCAGCAGGAACACCATAACGACATCAATACTGAGCAATCTATTTGTAACATGCTTAGGCATTTCGTATGTTTCATTGACATCGTGTGCATGAGTTCTCTTCGCCATTCCTCATGTGACACATGGCTTTCAGCATATTAAACCTTTGTCCTACCTATTCTTGACATTGATAATATAGTTTTAGGCCCCTTAACTCGCAGTATTATTAATAAGTTAGAAAATGTTCAAAGCAAAAGAATAAGATTCAACTTTAATTGCTGTGACAAGGTTTTTGTCTTGGCTTTGGTGGCAAAAGCTCACCTGAAGCACACCTCAATGAAGGATGAAATTGCATCAATACTTGATGTTTGAAGAGTTAAGAGACATGTACATCTTTCAACAGGTCTAGACGACATAGTCTTTCATTCACTCCATATAAGCCAGCTAACAATGTTTCTAAGTATCCTTTGCACAAATAATTGTAAAGTGGAATGCCTTGGATGCATCCACCACTGAAATCACCTGAATAACTGCTTGCCAGTTGATTATCTAAAGTTGCCTGCTTTTGTATTTACGACCTTCACCTTCTTTTCCATAAGGGGATCGTGTTTATGTTCCTTGTTTTATTTGGTTTGCAAACATGTTATGCTACTACTGTTCTTGCTTCATAAGTTTTATTCACCATTGTAATCCACTGCTACAACTCCCCTAGAAGTAAACAGTAGTGTCAAATAAATAACTAAATGTAAAGTGCTGCATAGAAAACTGCCAAACACTATAAGAACTGACACTGTAAGAGCAATTTCTTTCTTTTTTTCGCTCTCCAACTCTTGGTCTGTGCACCTCCCTGTTTCGTGTATTGTGACTCACGAACAAACACGGTTTATCTTATCAGTTCTTATCTACAGGGAGCGCCGCTGCACCGGCGGGGGCACCTACCCCATACAGCGATAACACGTTACGCGATTCGTGTTTGACATTCCGACGAAGAAAGAGCAGTACACGCACGGCAGTGATTCAACAAGGATCGCCGAACTGCACGACTTACCTGTGCAGAACGCCAAACTGGAGCGCGCTGGCGATCCAAACGAGCTTCGAGACACGCTTATCGTGAATGTGCCACCTCAGGCTGCACACGTTGACCACCACCGATGGCATCAGCACGAAGAACAGGGTCATGCCGGCGTACGCCCATAGCTGGTAAATGGCGTACTGTGTGACCACGATCACATCTGAAGCGCGGAAAACGAGAGGATTGAAAACAAATAGCTCGAGGTTGCACTTGACGCCATAAACCACTTTACGGTGAGGGTTTCAACAGGTAAGGTCGCAAACACGTAGAAACATAAACGCTCAATGGCGGGCTGCGTTGCCTTGAGCGTTTATGATTTTTCTATCTGATCGCGTCTTTACGTGCTGAAAACCTCATTGCAAACGTGCAGCGACTGGCCCAGCGAGCAACCGCAACCATAAACAGCGCTCAACAGCACAGGCGCAGTAAAGGCGTACTGCGCTGCTAAAGTTGCTGCTTGGGCGAGTTGGTTCGTGTTTGAGATATCTTTGCCAACGCAAAAAAAAAAAACTTCACCTTTTAAGAAAACACACACACACGGCGCTGATGTGTGTGTGTTTCTAAAGTGTTTCGTCTTGTTTATAAACGTCGCGCTGGCTGTTTGCCTTTCACAGCTGCGATACAAGCTCGCTTGAGCATCTAGTTGTGGCGACGTGTTCATAAAGTAATGCAAGATAAGCAACTTGTTCGTATTTGGTTAAACAATACAGCAAGCAGCGTGTTTACAAGAATGTTTTGTGTGTGTGTTTACTGCGAGGCTGATAAACGGCAAACCGTGCTACAAGCGACTCTATACAATTCCTATACGACGACAGTGTCACGCGTATTAAACGATTATATTTTTTTTTTTCAGTTTTAGATGTGAAACGAGATGGTTTCCCGCGGCAGTAAAGACTGTCGCTAACGCAAGTTTCAAATCAAAGTTACGCGGAAGTTCCACAACGATCTCTTGGGCGGAGCGTGCGGTGTTTAACGTACCGGTAGCGATGTCCGAGAAAAACGTTACGACCGACAGGACAGTGAAGAAAACGTCGAGCTTCGTAAACCTGGGTCCCCTCTTGTCCTCTGGAGTCGACACAGAACACACGTACACGAAGTTTTTAAAAATATTTCGTTCAAAACACGCGCGGTCATTGTCGCGGGAGAGTTTTTGTGCGCGAAGGCGCCGTCCGCGCTGGCGACTGCTGCGGCGCGTCCCGGCCGAAACTGGAAACGCGCGCCGGTTAGAAGTTCTTGAGTAATCGCGCTTCTTACTTACAAAAAACACCACAAAAACAGAGTGCAGATTAACAACTGTTTATTACACGAATTCTTTTTATACCTATATTCACAAGAGTGGCATAGCAAGGGCATGAGGAGAGATAAAAAACTCACAGTAAACTCACCATGGAAACTCACTGAGCAGCATCTGGGCGCCAATCCAAAACAACTACTTATCATCATCAATAATCAGCTCGGGCATGTGCATCTCTAGGCATGCGCAGGGCATGAGTTTGCAAAGGCAAGCGGATAGACCTATAATGATATCTAATTTTAGGAAACTCTATAAATAGACCTACCCACAATGCACTGTGCCAAGCGCCTTTACGAGGCTCTCGGAAGCTGCGTGCTCATTGGTTCATGCAAAATGTCGTCAACCAATATGGCTGCGCCCATGACGATGCTGCTAGGCTGTGTTCGCTGAGGCAATCTTGATCGTGAAAAAAGCCTTCCCATCATTTGCAGGCACGCGGAAAAACTTCCAGTGTGCCGAAAAACGACGTGAGCATGCCTCTGTCGACGCTTGCACCTCACTGGCGCCAGCAGTGTTAGTCCGTTTTCATCGACTGCAGGAGACACTAAGAAGCGGACAGTCGTTTCCAGAAGACGTCGAGATGCTGGTCTCGGTAAGTTCTTTTTTTTTTTCTTTGTAGTTCCGAACAGAGCCATAAAATGCTTCTTTACGGGACCGTTGGTGCAGTCAACTTCGCTAATGATGCTGGTGCAGGCGCAGCTTCGGTTACTACGCTACTCAGTGAGAGCATGACTATTGCTGCTGTTGCACAGTGCTTTAGTGCGCATAGACTTGAGTGGAATAAATTAAACAACAAAAAATAAATAAAAGTAAACTGAAACTCATAGCTTCGAGTGTTCGTCGAAAGCTATAAATTAATAAAAAACACGCAAGCGTTTATTGAAGCTTCACTGCACAACTGCTAGGTATTTTGGTGAAGGCATGTGTGAATCATTACGATCGAGTGCTCAGAGTAAGCATCAACTTGCAAATGACTACAGTCAGTGTAGGAAAGACTGCCGTGTGCCTCAAAACAGCAATCCTGAATCGTTAGTGCTTTGAGCTTGCATTCTTTACACGTCAATTAATTTACAAATGTCCTGTGAATGAAGAGAATAACCAGCTGCAGCTAAGTTGTGCGTAGTGTTCAAAAATGCACCCTCATCGGCATTCGTTTTTAAAGGCAATGCATGTTCGCGTCAGGCAAGGTAATTATGGTAGTGTGCCGAGTGCACGTGACAGGGAATGCTACACTAGCTGTTGGATTGTGAATGATCAGTTTATGAACAGTTTATAATCGATTTGCAGCGCCTTGCTGAGAAAATACATGGGCCTTTTGCAACACTTCTAATTCTGGCTTCATGTAAAAGAATAAAAAACATCATTACACCTCAGGTTGACAGGTAATGTTTGATATATGCAGGATTATGCTGACATTTATGCCATAATTATACTCAAAAGTGTAACTAACAAAATGGCACAATGCTATGCTGTTGACACATATTTGTTATGCTTTGTTTAAAAACATACTAAAATTTTGGTGATCTTGGTGGCATGCTAACTTTGGCATATCGTACAAGTTGCTAGTATGTGGTATGTAAAGAGACTGTACATAATATAAAGACACAGAACTGTTCTTGTCATCATTTCTAACTTCTTTATTTTAATACCTCCGTCCTCCCAGTCCCCTATGCAATAAATCATTTGTCTTTGGCAACTGATTAAGCTTGCTTCACTTTCACAGCACTTGTTTTCAAACCTCCTGGGATGATAAGGGGGTAATGACAGCTAAATTTTCATTTTATTGCGTCAAATGAAAGGCCCAGCCTTCAATGATCTAAAAAATGTACTGCAAAGTGCGAGTGCACTCTGAAAAAGTAATTACACTATTCTTTTTAAAAGCTTGTTTTCATTTCGACAGTGTCCTGACATTGTAACACAATGTGAGCTTCTGGTCATGTGCTTGTGTGATAAATCATGAAACTCGCTTGGTTGCTACGCACTGTGGCTTCCATTGCCGACCCACAAGCAGTCATTTTGATAATTTTTGTGATGCTGAGTGGCCATTTTGGTACCTGATATCATCACAACAAGATAGGTTGCAGCATGAAGTCCCTAGAATTGCTTGATGTGCCATGGGAAACCTGAATTTATTATAAGATACAGGTAATATATCTTATCACGATATTATTTGCTTTTCACTTGCTCAGAGTCATTTTTGCATCCACGAGATTCGTATGGCAGAGTAAACTCGCCTTTGAAAAATGGTGTCGTACTCATTTAGAATGCTGGCTGTCAAGGCCAATTCGAAGGTGCCATTGAGGCCAACGTACCGGGAAGTCTTTAAATGTCCTTGGGGCTTGCCATTTTGACAAACGAGAATGGCCCTCTTTGACTCACTGCTGAGTTTTGTAATTCTTTCATCACCAAGTCCCGAACCTCAATTCTTGGTACAGCTGTGTTCTGTTATTGTCGAAGTTCCTTTTCACTCTCTTTCTGTACTTAGCTTTAACCTTTTTTAGTTCTCGCTCTGTCAGGCTGATCATCACTTCAACTCACAGTCACGTTGGCTGGTATATATGTTGCTTTGCTGGAGCAGTGAAAAGTCTGTTCATGAATGTTGATTTGTTCTTGTTGTTTTTTTCCCACTCCTGCAATAGCCCCATTGAGGCTGCAATATGTAAAAATACATAAGTGGTGTGCACCCCAGAGATGCTTTTCAGGGCTGTGCACGATGAGCTACGTCATTCAAAGGCAGCTCTTCTATCCTTCTGGGAAGTGTTGACACATGCTTAAGTATTACACTAGTGTCTTAATTAGCTGGCTTCACTAGCCCAATAACTGCTGAATGACATGGAGCAGTAAACTTGAGTGCAATTTACTGTTGGTTTGCCCATTTACTTGGTTGATGACTCTGTAAATATGGTTCACTGTCTCTCACTAATACTGACTTATTGTCAGACATCTTTTAGTTTAGAAGGAGATCAGACTGTTGGTATCGCCTTTTCTGCTTTCGCTGCCACCATCCTTTTACAAGCCATCACCTTTGGATATTTTTTTTACAATATTCTTTGAAGTTCATGTGAATGACTTCCTACGGTGCAGAAAAGTGTTTTGATTGTACCATTTACTAAACTTTACTTTATTAATCTGGCTCTCGTGATATGATTGTACTTATATTGTGTCTTCTTTTATGCCGTATCATGTGAACTGCTTGGTTAGCTTCATGTACATCCACCGAATGCCATCATGACCACCCAAATGACAGTGGTTATGGTAAAGATTGAATATTTTTTAAATTAGTGTGAGTGGCACTACGATCACTCATGCTTGTGTCAGTTTTAGAGCTTCAGTTTCTTCTCTAAGCTTGACAGAATTTACTGTTTTACACATTAGCAAGTGGGATCCCCAATATGTATACTGCATCACCGTCTTTTGTTGAAGCTTCTGGGTGCCTTTAGAATGGCCAGTGCTTCTTTATTGTCGTTCAATTCACTTCCACTTCATTAAACATGCAGCTGCAGTAACTAACCACAGAAAGTTAGCAACTATTTGGCAGTCTTTCATCTCACTATTAGTGTATCGCTCCTTTTCGTTATTGTGATTCATTTGTATTCAGCTTGAATGGTAGAGCAGTCTAGTAGATTAAGTACAGGATCACGTCACATCATTTTTTTAACAACACAAACCTCCCTATGCTTCCATTCCTTTAGTTCAGTCTATAATTTAGCTGCTTTTGCAGCGGTTGGTTATTGTACTCGATGTTATGCTATCTCTGTGACTCTCTCTGTGGTGTTGACACACCTAAAAGTTCAGTCTTCTTTGAATGCAACTGTTCTGAAAACAAGTAAAAATGTCGCTAGACAGCAGGTTGCGGAACTCGGAATTTAAAACCATTTTGTTCTCTCCTTCCCCACTTCAAGCTGGCCCCCAAAGCAATGCGGATCAGGGACCAGAGCTGGAATGCTGCTGGGTACTGCTGCTCGGCTCAGTGTGGACAAGTACTGCAAATAAGGACGGCATCTGGCTTTGTGAACTTTTCCTGACGGCATTTAGTGCACATAATTTTTCATTCTGCTTGACAAGAAACTGTTGTGCAACATAACCTTTGCTAACACTTGAAAATGTGAAATGAACCCATAATTGCCTTAGCGGACCTGCTCCCATTGAGACTTCATATTTACATTCAATAAAAAAATGCAAATAAAGTTTGTGGTGCTGGATGTTTTTGCTTTCACTTATCCTAAAACAAGCAAAATCTGTCCTGTTAAGTCATCTGCAAGCACAGTTACACCGCAGTACTGTCTGTCATAAGAAATGAAAACAAAGTCGAACGCACCTCAACTTGTTGAGTTCTGGGTGTACTTTCTACTGTGCAATAACTCTAATTTCTAGCACGTTCATGATTCTTGAATTGAAATGCTTTTTGCTAATGATAACATATCTTAAAATATGGAAATTTCATAGGGTAAGCCATTTGGCCTGTCCTGTCAATTTATCTGCTGTGTTATGGCGATATAGGTCAATAAGTAAAAAATGTTCATTTGTTGCAAAATATATAAACACATTGGGGTTAGTATATACGGAAGGAGGTCCCATAGCACAAGGCTGAAAGGGGACCTCCTGTGAAAAATATACATGTTGGCAAGTATAACAAAATGGCAACTAAAAAGTGGCAAGTCATTATGATAAGAATAAAGACAGGAAAAACTTGTAATATAAATTCCAGCAGACATGGTAATAAAACAATGTTTAGTAATTATACATGGCTGTGAAAAAAAGTAGCAGTAGAGCCTTGAACAAAAGGAACTTTAATGATACACCAGACAACTCAAATCCACATGAGTAAATAATGTGAAAATAACTCGTTCAGTAATAGCTTTAAATATAAGAGAATATATATGGAAAACATGGAATTAGTAATGATTGTGAAATGAGATAAGGAAGTTCTTTTTTAAAAGTGTCGAATGACAATTATTTAGTGCATAGTGGTATTGCATTCGAAAAATGTATGGCAGCAAGTATGGTAGTGTGTTTGCTGTAGTTAGTGCATGTATGTGATAGTAAAAAATTCTTGTTAAGCCTGGTGGGATTAGCATTTACCAATTGAAATTTCTGCAAGACATTGGCTGTTAGAGAACCGTTAAGCCACTTGAATACAATAATTACCAGTTTATATTTAAATAAATTACACAGTGTTAGTACACTATGTTGCTGAAAAAGTGGGGACTTGCTGGTGTTTGGAGTACTGAATGTTAGAATGCGAATGGCTTGCTTTTGGAAACGTTGAAGTGGGAGGATATGAGATAGATAGGTGCTTGCCCATGATGTGATGCAGTACATAATATGACTGTGAATAAAGGCGTAGTATAGTTTAAGCAAAGTTCAAGAATGGTCATGCTTCAATTAATGTTCTGATACCATTATAAGTGATGCCATTATACCATTATTAGTGAAATGTGATGGTACTTTACATGAGCATCTAGGACTACTACCAAGAATGTGAACATAGTGGTACAAATATATCTGTGGCCGTTGTTAGTGTTAGCTGGGGTAGGTGAAAAAGGATTATGACTAGAATGGAAGACAATAAACTGTGTTTTACTTGAGTTAATTTTTAAACCATTAGCTGTGCTCTAGCACTTTAACAGTAATGGTGTCCAAGAACTTCTGTCGTGCAATTATAAGAGCTCTTTACATCACATTGTTAATCGGAGAATATGGGGGGCCACAAGTAGGCTATTGCGAGCAGCACGTCATTGCTTCATTTTGGCATTTGTTTCGAAACCTTCACTTTTACACCATGCTAGACAGCTAGGAATGCAAGCTGCTTTAAGGATCAATGAGCTTTGTCACATAGTCTCCATACAGTGGCACTTGTATACTGCTCTGCTTCACCTAATGGATTCACATTAAAACAAAAAAAAAGATAGCTGTTAGTATTACATTTCACAATTTTGCAGTTGTACATCTGCACATTTCTAATAGAAGGAATTTCTACTTGCTGGATTTATAGATGTAAACATCTCATCGGGAGACATAAAAACTAATATTGTCATGATGTTGAAGACTGCAGTAGTCAGGGGGATTGCTATCAAAGTTTATATTTCTGCGAACCTTTGCCTGAAGAACGGAAAGTCAACTTACAAGCAATACATAGTCTGCCCTGATAGCGGTAAACATTGCGTCGGCCATCAATATTCTGACAAGCAGTACAGCGCATCTGCTTTTATACATGTGCTATTGAAAAATTGGCAGATCTCACGTAAAGTGGGAATCGATGATATGCGAAGCACCAATTAGAAATGTTGATATGTCACTTTAAAATCAGCACAACATTTCTAGACGGAGGTAAATGATGCCGTACATGACTTCCGTGTCACAATTATCATGATTGGATGTGTCGTTTACCTTCGTCATCTATTCACGTCGCATGATATCAAATTTAGTATATGTGGAGCTAACGAAATGGCTGCAAGCACGCTATGAGCTTGGTATGTTGTCATGATCCTACGTGACACGCGTGTCAGGATTATCATGTTTGTACCAGTAAAATATTTTATCATCCATTGATGTCGCATAACACCAAATTTAGTATATGCGGAGCTAGCAAAACGACCGCGAGCACATCATGAAGAGCCCAATATACTCCAATGTAGCATTGCCGCACCTGCACGCTGGGCACAGTGACGCTACGTTAGCAAAACGCGAGCACTCTATAGTCTGACACCAGGCGCGACCAGCGTCCGTCGGCACGGCCCGACGGCAACCGGTGCGCAATGCTGCATTTCGCGCTGATGTTTTACCCAGATAACACTGCGTCTCCCTCTTTTCGCGACGGATGGTCGCCGGACGCGCTAAAACACGCATGCGTCAAAGCAACGCAGCGCGCGCCTGCGAGTATATGGTAGGACTGGCGCCTGGCGTGGCAACGCCAGAGTGACACGACGAAATGAATGCCGGCGAGCACGTGCACCGCGACACGTCGAAACGTATGTAGTCACATTCACACGCATCTCATGATTATCATGTTTGCAACAGTCACATACCTTCGTCATTCATTGGCGTCGCGTAATACCGAGTCTGGTACATGTAAAGCTAGCGAAACCGCCGCGAGCGCATCATGAGCGTGGCATGTAGTCATGCTGTTACATGACACGCATCTCATGTTTCTCATTTTTGCACCAGTATCATACCTTCGTAATCCATTCATGTCCCGTAATACCAAATTCGGTATAAGTGAAGCTAGTGAAACGGCCGCAAGCTCATCATGAGCGTGGCATGTAGTCATGTTCTTACATGACACGCATCTGATGTTTATCATGTTTGCACCAGTATCATACCTTCGTCGTTCATTGACGTACTGTAATACCAAATTTGGTATATGCCACGCTAGCGAAATGGCCGCGAGCACATCATGAGCGTGACATGTAGTCATGTTGTTACATGACAGGAATGTCATTATTTTCATGTTTGGGGTCTGTCGCTTGCGTTTGCCATGCAATCATGCCATACCATACCAATTTTTCAACATGCCATGTGAACGAAACCACCGCAAGAGCTAAAGGATCATGAAATGTAAATCATGACATAAATGTCATGATTTTCATGTTATGACTAGTCAAATATGTTTTTCATACAGTCATGTTAGGCCATACCAAGTTTGGTATTGATACCATTATCGAAACGGCCAGGAGAGCTAAAGTTCGTTGGCGGCGCGATAGATAGACAGACAGGCGGGCGGGCAGGCAGAGGCAGGCAGGCTCAATGTCGCCGAAGTTCGCTAAGAAATGCTTCGCATTTAAAATTCCAGGGTTATTGCCGGTGGCTGCGTAAGCACTAGACTATTCACGTCCTGTCCACAAACTTAGCAGTGTGATCTCCAAGTTATCGCGGAGCTTCTCAAACACTGCTGCACCATCTGTACCGAGTTTTGCTTAAAGTCTTTGTGAGCGAAACCAGGCTTCATCTAACTAAAACACACGTGGTAATATGCATGTATTTAGTTGTCAGGCTTGTCATTTATATGCTAAATTTATCCCAAGTAATAAGATATCTTTATCGCCAAAAGACGTTTGAACATGGTGTGTTGTGCTGCATGTATTATTGCCTGGATAAATATATATAGCAATTCACATAACTGTAGTAGCGATAATGTGGACTTCACATTCAAGCATATTGCCATGGCAAGTAATTTTTTTCATTTTTAATACATCTTGTGACAGCCTTATTTATCCATCTCATACCCGGAATTCTCTGGCAAAAACAATTAATATATTGAATTTTCTTCTTTGTTTGTTTCAGCACAACATTTAAATATTAACATGAGGTTTTGCATTTCTTTTTTGTTTTGACAAAGCACCCAGGTTATGTTAGCATTTGACTCACCTTGAGTCGGAAAATGGATGCTTCCAAAGCATCTCAGAAAATACATTTTATTGATATTAACAGTTATAATTTAGCCAAGTTGCCACTCGTGATTTAGGCAAGAAACGCCCCAATGTATTGGCATTCACTGCTGTTTTTGTCTGGCATGTGCTGATTATTAAAAGGTACTTTTTTGTAATTTTGCTGTGCTAATTTCATTCCTATCTCAGCAGTACTACAGCGATTGAACTGTCTGACCTGGTGTTTTATAATTATTGCACCAATAATGCAATAATATACAAGTAAGTGCTTATGAACAGGCTTATGTTTAGTTTACTGATGTAAGCTAATAGTACAAAAGATGTGCTATAAACTAATCCTTCTTGCTAATGTACGACAAGATTCAGAGCAATTTTCACCAAGTACACTTGTGTTTTTACTCCCTGTGGGCAACTGCGGGCGCAGGTTAGCCAGATGAGGACAGAGGACGTTCGAGGACAACGAGAGACTTTTATATACACGAAGACGGACAAATGGATACACACAACATAAACTCACACAGATATACACGCGCTAACGGTCCTACGCGAAGAGAGTTATTGTTCTTGTTCGTTCACTCACATTCTACTTTTGGGGCGTGAACGTTGCTCTTCACCTTGAGCTCTCTGGTAGTCAGGAGGCGCGATGCCTGGTGCTTGCGGAGTTCCTACCGAGGCGGGGCTCGGTCTAGAAGATAACCGCCAGGGCCATCCCAGTACGGTGGTTAACGCCTGGGCTTGCCACCGAGAACAGCGTACCGCCGACTGCCGCGAACAGAGCTGGGACAGCGTCTCGCTCCGAGACCAGAACAGCAG